AAACAGGATTTTTTTTTATATAATTTTGATCTTTGGGGTAAAATTGATCAATTCCGATCCAGCCGACATTGATTCCAATGCACACCCCTGTATGATTATAAAAACATTGAAGATGATATGGGGTGGATCGACAGCTAATCAGATAGTTTTGGGAACTTCTGAACTTGATCAGCACTGCCTGTGTGACCCTCCGTATCAAGTGAATCAATCAATTAAGTCGAATTTTATCATTTTTAATAACTAGTTAATTCACTCTCACCTTTTTTTCACTTTTTCCCAATTGTTTTAATATGGCGACTTACAAACAGAAACCTGTTCGCCCTCAAACTCACTATGTAAGCAGTGATTCAGAAGAGGCTTCGGGTTCCGATCAAGAATGGGTCGTGTTTCATGGGGATCGTTCCTCTATCGACCGCAAAATCGTTAATCCTTCTAGTGACGATGACTGGCATGTTCTTAGTGATAATCTAAGTCCAACGGAAGAAAGTCTGATTGTATCTGAAAGTAACTCTGAGTTCGCCAGTGACTATGATTCTGAACCAGACCAAGCTCAGGAACACGCTGAAGATTTTGTAAACCAAGATTACGTCGACCAAACGCCTTCTCGCGACGGAGTTGGAAATTTTAATGAAACATTTTCAGATATCTATTTTGCGTCTAATGAAACAAGCAACTTTTCTCCCGAATTTGAAGAAAATCATACTTCTGAGGCAACGAATCCCAATATCACAGAACCAGATGTCTTTGATTACAAAACTCAAAGCCAAAATGTAAATATTTCCGAAACTAGAGTAAGAACTCTTGGCAGTGCGCGAGATTCTTTAATGTCCACATTACGTAATGTATTCCGAATTGAAGAGGAGGTTGTTTCAATAATTGAAAGGGAACAACCACCACAGGTTTATCAACGACTTGCAGAATCTGCCTCTGCTAACGCAAAGTTTGAATTGGGTGATTTAGGCATGGTAAGTAAGAGTTAAATTAATCGCCTTGTTCAGATGGCGTATTTTAAGTCATATTTTACGTATTTGTTACTTGATATCATTATATATCATAGAATATCTTATTTACTTTATAGATGAATCCTATTAAATCATTAGCAAATGTGAACAACGAAAACATAAATGTTCATTCCGAGAAAAAACAAGTGCAATCTATACAACTATCCACTATTGACAGTACACCTATTTCTTATTCGCGTTTATCTTCCGGTAATGCGTCCATTATTACTAGATTGGGGAGTAGGCCCAATGTACCAAAGGATCCAATGGCTGTCAAATTCTCACCAACTATACCCAAGGATGCAATAAACAATATATTGACAAGCAATAATATTAACAGGTGTGATTAGTTTTTAGGCTATGTGAAAAATTTTAAAATTTAGTTAACTAACGCTCCCTCGACTTGTATGTCCTTACTGTCTAATATTTTATTGAATATAATTACAAAAATGCAAATATAAAGTTTTGCTTGGTAAACTCTTATTTTACGTGGCCTCAATT